GATTGATCCAGAGGAGATGATTGGGGCAGGTCCTGAGAATATTATTTGGGAAGAGTTTGATCCTGTGACTCCCGAAAGCGTGGACAGGATACTGAACAGACTAAATGCGACCACATGTTTATTGGACCCGTGTCCATCCTGGTTGGTACTGGCTTCCCGGGAAGTGACGCGAGGCTGGCTCCAGGAGATTATAAATGCTTCTTTGAGTGAGGGTGTCTTTCCCACCGTCTTGAAAGAGGCGGTGGTGAGGCCCCTCCTCAAGAAGCCCTCCCTGGATCCTGCTGTATTAGCAAATTATCGTCCTGTCTCCAACCTTCGCTTTGTTGCAAAGGTTGTTGAGAGTGTGGTTGCACGACAACTGCCTTAGTACCTGGATGAATCGAATTATCTAGATCCGTTCCAGTCGGGATTCAGGCCCGGGTACAGCACAGAGACAGCATTGGTCGCATTGGTTGATGATCTCTGGAGGGCTCGGGACAGGGGTTGCTCCTCTGTCCTGGTCCTACTAGACCTCTCAGCGGCTTTTGATACCATCGATCATGATATCATGCTGCACCGGTTGGAAGGGTGGGGGGTGGGGGGCACTGTTCTACAGTGGTTCTTCTCCTCCTTTCTCTCTGACCGGTCACAGTCTGTGTTGACAGGGGGGCAGAGGTCGACCCCGAGGCCCCTTATATGTGGGGTGCCACAAGGATCGGTCCTCTCGCCCCTTCTATTCAACATTTATGTGAAGCCCCTGGGTGAGATCATCCATGGTTTTGGGGTGAAGTACCATCAGTACGCTGATGACACCCAGCTGTACATCTCCACCCCAGACCACCCCAGACCACCCCAATGATGTCCTCGAGGTGATGTCCCGGTGCCTGGAGGCCGTACGGATCTGGATGGGGAGGAACAAACTCAGACTCAACCCATCCAAGACCAAGTGGCTGTGGTTTCCGTCGTCCCGATATAGTCAGTTGGCGCCATCTCTGACTATTGGGGGCGAGTCGTTGGCCCCCACAGATGGGGTTCGCAACTTGGGCATCCTCCTGGACTCACGGCTGTCTTTTGAAGAGCATATGACGGCCGTAGCCAGGAGGACTTTTTATCAGGTTCGCCTGATTCGCCAGTTGCATCCCTTTCTGGATCGGGACTCATTACGCACGGTCACTCACGCCCTTGTCACCTCACGCCTGGATTATTGTAATGCTCTCTACATGGGGCTTCCCTTGAGAATCACCCGAAGGCTCCAACTGGTCCAGAATGCGGCCGCGCGGGTGGTAATGGGAGCAATGTGGCGCTCTCATGTAACTCCCCTCCTGCGCGAGCTGCACTGGCTCCCAGTGGTCTTCCGGGTGCGCTTCAAGGTTTTGGTTACTATCTTTAGAGCGCTCCATGGCTCAGGACCAGGGTACTTACGAGACCGCTTCCTGCCACCAATAGCCTCTCACCGACCAGTTCGCTCCCATAAAGAGGGACTCCTCAGGGTGCCGTCGGCCAAACAATGTCGACTGACGGCCCCCAGGGGGAGAGCCTTTTCTGTGGGGGCACCTACCATCTGGAACGGGCTTCCCCCGGAGTTACGAAACATCCAAGACTTACGCATATTCCGCCGTGCCCTGAAAACATTTCTATTCCAACAAGCTGGTCTGGCCTAACTCTCCCTTTTTAATTGGCTTTTAAACTGGCTTTTAAATTGGGTTTTAAACCTCTTTAGATAAATTTGGATGTTTTTAATCTTTGAGCCTAAATTACTTAATCTGTTTCTTAATAGTTTTTAACTTCTATATGTATTTGTATTTATTATGGCTGTTCACCGCCCTGAGTCCTTCGGGAGTAGGGCGGTATACAAATATGAAAAATAAATAAATAAATAAATAAATAAACCACAATATCTGCCTATCATGGGTCTTTGGGAAGCACTTAATAGGTGGATAAAAATGCAAAATCCAGCCTAAGCATCTGGCTGACTATGCAACCAACTATAATAATAATAATGTGTCTGTATATTTATTTTATAAAATGATCTGCCTCTGGGAATCCCCAGGAGTCTACTATTAAACAATATTATACAAGTATTACCACACTTAAATTAGTTTACTCAAACGTGTTCCCTGGTGTTTATCCCCAGTATTCATTGTGTTATAGAAAACTTCTTTGCAGGTTTATTCAAAATTATGTTGAAATGAATAAAAGAGCCTAATTTCCATGTAAATTCCTAAGATTGCAGATCTACCGTATATATCATTACAATCTCATCTATTCAAAAATTGATCCTATTTCATTCGATGATATTCAAGTAGGCAGTTTTCAGACTTTTTCTGATAACTTGCAAGAGGCTCCAACAAGGACATCTCATTGTAATATATAATTATAATGCAGTTTTACCTGTTATTACTCAAAAGATGGGGAATTGATGACTTAATGGGTAGCCCTTGGACTAAAAAATATCATCTATCACTCCTGACACAAAAGTTATTTAATACTGTAGATGTTTCTGTCAGTTGTACTATTTATGTAAATAAATTGAAAGTTTTTCTTGAAGGAAAAAAATATAAATATGTTAAACTTGCAACTGTTCATTTTAAAATATTGCTTCATGTTCTCTTTTCTCATATATCTGTGGTTTCAGAATACATACATTGTTTCCTCTGTCCATGCCTCTGTTTGGTATTTTAAAGGCATTTCCCATAGTAATTCCTAATTAATGAATTTGCTAATCTACGTGCAAGGCTAATGTATGTGCAAACTTAGTATGTTTGCTTAGTTGTTTATCATCATACCTATAGAAATTGCCTATTGTTATGGCTACTGAATGCTAGCTATTTTTTTTTAAAGAAAAATAAACCAAGCCATGTTTTCAGGTAGAAGGCTTGCTCACCTGGCGCTTTCCAGATTTGTTGAGATGACAACAATCACATTTCCTAATTTGTATGTTACCTATACACTGGCTAGGAATTCTAGCAGGGCTTGGAGAGAATAAAAGTGGGGAAGATTGCTCAAAATAAAGGATTACCTACTTTGAACTCTGGGAAAAAAAAGGCCAGTTAGCTTTGTTAATCCTTTACAGTAGTAAAATATATCCTGTACCTTTGTTTTATCCTATATATTTTGACAGAGATGGGCTGTAGCTACCGTATTTCCCCAAAAATAAGACTTGATATTATATTTTTGGGGGCTCCAAAATAAGCACTGCCCCCTGGTGTGTGCACAAGAAGTGGCAAACGCATGGGGACTGATGATATCCAGCAGCAGCTGCAGCCCTCCAGTCCCTTGGTCAACGCACTTTGGGGCTGCACAGACCACAGGTGAGTTGATTCCCTGTCCAAGCAGCAGACAAAGGCAGAGGCGTGGGAGGGAGGGAGGGAGACAAACTGGATGCACTGTGCGGGAAAGCCGAGAGTCAGTGGGTTGGAGCAGCCACGGGAGGTTCATCTTTATGCAGCAGCACTGGCAGCAGACAGAGGCAGAGGCATGGGGTGGAAGGCAGGCAATCTCGACACACCTTGCAGGCCGCAGGCAAGCTGAGAGATGCAGAGACGAGCCTCCTATGGTCAGCCACCCTCTCCAGCCCACCAACTTTCAGTTTTCCCATGACCCACATGGCATGTCTGGATCACCTGCCTTCCACTCTCGCCTCTGCTTCCATCTGCTACCGTTGCTGCCACATGAAAATGAGCCTCCCATGGCCTCCATGGGCGCACCTGCCCACCAACTCTCGGCTTTCTGGCGTCCCACTCCCTTCACTGGGACTTATTTTTTTTAGTAGAACTTGGATGCATGCTTAAAAATCAGGCTAGGACTTATTTTCGGGGTAGGGCTTATTTTTGGGAAAACCTGAAATTATAAACCTATATCTGAATTATAAACAGGAAAGCTGAAACAAATGCATACTAACCTACCAACTGCAATATCATAAAGTGTGAATATGTATGTTGGAGAGTTACAGAAGGGTATTACACTAGGAGATGACTAAGCATTCTCCAGCGCGCTGCTTGGAGAATCCAAAGCGTGGGTAATGTTTACTTTGAGCTTGTCAGAGACTGAGTGTATCACTTTTAAGTTTTCTGCCTCGGTTCCGCCCCTTCTGCTCGACTGATGTCAGTTTAGTTCACTCAGTCGAGTGGAAGAGACTGAATTTTGGCTTGCTCTGACAATCCTCATCGTTTTCAACTTTTTCTACCCACGCTTTGTGATCCATATCCTTTTATTTTCGTTATTATTCTCCTTCCCATTTCTGGATTCCTTTTTATTGACTTGCTTTGGACTGCTAATTCTCAAGAGGGGGTGAGTTCTCCCTCAGGCTTTCAGCCTGGCCTGGGACAATCCATCTGGCATTTTTTCCTTCAAATTTATCAACATTGATATCTAATTGCTTCCTTAACGGCTTAATTGACTGACGCTAATTTGCGCTACGCTCGCTAATTTGCGAGCGCATTTTTTCAAACTTGTTCGATCTTAGGGAAGAACGCTTAGCCTGAAGCCTAGTGCCTGGCTAGCGTGTCTTGCGGCTGTCAGCATAACAAAAGCGCTGTTCCTGGCTTCCGTGGGGAAATCGCCTGAGCGACCCCCGGATTGTGCCGTGTTGTTATCTCGGGGCCGATCGACCCACTGTGGCATCGCCCCGATCGATTGCTTGCTGCTCGCCCTGCCTTCATCTCACAAGCGCTGAGGGAGATAGTTTCCCGCCCACCGCCATTTTGCCCGCTATTGCGCTCCCGCCGGCGGTTGCAGCTGCCTCCTAGTTCCGACGGACTTTTTACTGAGCCGTTGCTCACCTTCCCCTGGGATTTGCTGCCGTTGCTGCTCTTTTCGGATGGTTTGCAGCCTTCTTCTTGCCTTTCAGTTGCCCAGCCTGCGCTCCGCTTGCCTTGGCTATCCAGCACATGCGCAGTACCTTCTCCTGTCGGCAAGCATCTGGGCCTTCCCTGAACTATTCTCGGCCTGCTTGACACCATTTCCTCGGCTGGTATTAGTGCTGCCTGCTCAATTTTCACTGGAAACGCATGCGCACTAACCTTCAATTGCTGCTGTTGCTGTATCCTCCAAGAGCGTCAGTTGTCTTGTTCTCTGACATCTGATCATCACAGTGACGTGGTGCTCCAACTTACGACTGTTTCCGTCTTATTGGACTGACTTACGGCCTGTTGTTTTCCACTTTGTGACCTCCGGTCTCGTTTAGTGACAACAACAAAACAAAAAAAAAACAAACATCATATCTATACTACTTACTTGATTCCTATTGTTCTCCCTTCCCACCTCCGTCTCGTTTAGTGACAAAAAAAAAAAAACCACCTCTAACTCACCTGAACGCCTGTCTCCTTCAATGGCGACCCTGGACCTTTCTTCTGATCCCGACCTCTCCGACGATCAATCAGTCGTGGATCCTCCACCTGCAAAAAAGAAAACCAAGTCACAGTCACGCTCTGCTCGGGCGGCTTCCGCACCCCCGCCCTCCTCATTGCAACTCGTTTCCGGGGGTTCCCATTCATCTAAAGATGAACAACGCCGGCATCGTGCTCTCGAACGACAATTTCGTGTCGCCCAACAAAAAGCATTAGCCTCTGCTGCCCCGCCTTCGACCGGATCGGGTCCTTCCTCCGCCTCGATGGCAAGTCTCCCTCCTCCCACCCCGTCCGGGAATGTTCCCATTCATTCTCACCCTGAGCCGGAGTCCAGCTCATGTCGACCGGCTAACCGGCCCGCTCCATCGGCTACATTTACACCTGCTGCAGCTGGTTTGCGACAAGCAAATGCTTCTCAGCCTGACCCTCCTTTGGATGTCCAGTCCATCGTGGCGGCCACTATATCTAATCTGATGGCCTCGGGCGCCTGGACTCCTGCTGTTACCCAGGCTTCTCAGACATCTCAGAACCAGCCCCAACCTGTGAATACTACGTCTTCTAGACGTTACTATGACTATGAATGCTACCAGGACTCATTCCAAAGTGAGGACTCCAACTGGGAGGAGGAGGAATATATTGACTCTGAATTTTCGGAAGATGAGGGCCTCCCACCGGATAGACCCCTACTGACCAGACTCTTCCGCCCGGTCTTGTTTAAGTCTCTCCTTCACAAGGCCAAGGTCTCTACTAATCTAGCAGATTCCTCCGACCAACCATCCGTGTCCTCATCAGTCTCCCCTTCTGATGGGCTCTTTAAGCTGCAGACTGCGGCTCAGGATACTATTCCTTGTCCTCAGCTGTTTACGGAGGTCATCCAACGCCCATGGAGCCTACCGGCCTCTTCGCCAGCTCCGAACGGCCTGGACAAAAAGTTATACTGCTCGGCGCCTAATTTGCAGGAGATGCTACAACTGCCTTCCGTGGATGCGCCCGTGGCCCAATTTACGGCGGCGTCAGTTCTGACCAGCGACGCTGCGGACGCCTTACGTACTGAGGACAAAAGGGCGGAAGCTCTCCTCTGCAAAAATCATCAAGCGGCCACCTGGTTTATCAGGGATGCTACGTTCTCGTCCTTTTTCAATCGCGCTTCCCTCATCTGGCTCCGCCAGTTGCAGGAGTGCCTACCCCAGGATGACAAGCACTTACACCAGGATATTAATAAACTGGTTGCGGCAGCAGAATATTCGGCAGATGCGTCCCTGGACGCAGCCAAGTTCGCCTCACGATCCCTTGCAGCCATCGTCGCTTCCCGCTGCCTCCTGTGTCTTCGACAATGGAGAGCTGACAATAAGTCAAAATGGCAGCTGGCTTCAGTCCCATTCAAAGGGGCGAGTCTCTTTGGCGAGGCGCTTGATCCCATACTCGTTGAAGATAAGGACAAGCGGAAAGTGATGCCAACTTCCTTCAGACGCGGGGATCGCCGTTATTCTTCATACCCTCAACGGCCGCCCTTTCGGGCAGATTCCGGACCCAGCGGGTCCTACCAATACCGCCCGCCTTCCCAGGGCCTCTACAGACCCCCCGACCGTGCCAACTTTCGTGACAGGGGCTGTCGCCAGTCCTTCAAGAGGCCTTACCGGGGCTCCAACTCCCGTCCCTACAGGAGGGGAAAATGACTCCCTCTCTTTGGCTCCCATTGGCGGTCATCTACACCTTTTCCGGTCTCAATGGGAGCAGACTACGACGGACGCCTGGGTCCTCCAAACCATCCGCCTCGGCCTCACCTTAGAATTCAGTTCCCTCCCTCCTCCCAGATTCATCACCTGCCCTGTCCCAGCGAATCCAATAAAACGGGACTTGATGGAGACAGAGATCCAACATCTCCTCGACATTCGGGCTATAGAGGCGGTCCCCCCGAGTCATCAAGGGACCGGCTTTTACTCCGTCTTTTTCCTGGTGGCCAAAAATTCTGGAGGATGGAGGGGAATTCTGGATTTAAAGGCACTCAACAAATTCATAAAGTACCATCAGTTCAAAATGCAGACGCTGCGGTCGATAATGGACTGTATTCGTCCGGGAGACCTGATGACTTCCATCGACTTGAAAGAGACCTACCTGCATATTCCCATCCATTGGTTTCTCAGGTTTACCTTCAACGGTTTGCATTACCAATACCGGGCAATGCCATTTGGCCTGTCGTCGGCCCCACGGGTATTTACGAAGGTGTTGGCAGCGGTAGCCGCCTCTCTCCGTCTGATCCCCATTCGGCTTTATTGTTACCTCGACGACATCCTCATCCTGTCATCGTCGCCCGACCTTGCCATGAGGGATCTCGAATTGGTGACATCTTCCCTTCGTTCACACGGCTTCACCCTGAACATCAAAAAAAGTCATCTTCATCCCACCACCAGGATTCTCCATCTGGGGGCGATCCTGGACTCTCAACTGAGCATGGTTTTCCTGTCGGAGGATCGTTGCCTCAGCATTCGCTCCTTGGTCCTCCAGATTTTGTCACTTTCCCGGGTGCCGTTGCTGCTTCTTTCGACCCTTCTCGGCAAAATGACATCCTGCCTCTTCATTGTACCTTGGGCAAGATTCCACTCCAGGCCCCTGCAATGGTACCTACTACCTTTTCAGAAGACACACCGGAGCAACTCCAAATCTCGAGTCCGGCTACCTCGGGCAGTCTGCGATTCCCTACGTTGGTGGATCTCGCCATCTGTGCTCTCCGAGTGTTTGTTCCAAAACCCTCCACGGGCGACAGTGACCACAGACGCGAGCTTGCTGGGCTGGAGTGCCCACTTTCAAAACCAGGTCACACAGGGTCGCTGGTCTGCCACAGAAGCAGCCAACGACATCAACTGGCTGGAGCTTCGTGCGATCAGACTCGCGCTGTCTCACTTCCAGCATCTCTTGGAAGACCAACACGTCCACGTCCTCACGGACAACGTGACAGCAAAAGTGCACGTAAATCGCGAGGGAGGAACTTGCTGAGCTCCCCTGATGGCGGAAGCGACGATGCTCCTGACTTGGGTGGAACTCCACACTCGGTCGCTGACGGCGGACCACATAGCCGGAACCGACAACCGCCAAGCGGATTGGCTCAGCCGTCAGCAGATCGATCAGGCAGAGTGGCGACTCTATCCGTCCCTCTTTCAAGAGCTGTCCGCCAGGTTCGGCCGCCCCATTATCGACCTGTTTGCCCACCCGACCAATGCACAACTTCCGAGATTTTTCTCCCGGTTCCACTGCCCCACAACAGACGGCACCGACGCCCTTCTCTGCCCCTGGCCACGGGGCCTCCTATATCCCTTTCCCCCCCTCCTGCTCCTGCCGAGGGTGATCCGGAAGATCCTGCTGGAACGAGCGGACGTCCTGCTTGTTGCTCCCCATTGGCCGCGCAGGTCCTGGTTCACCGATCTGATGGACCTATCGGTGGCTCCTCCGTGGCGAATCCCGGACCACAGGATCTCTCTCAGCCAGGGGGTCATTCTGCATCCAGAGCCTCAATGGTTGCAGTTGACGGTCTGGCACTTGAGAGGATCCTCCTGACCAAAGACAACTTGTCCAGGGATGTTGTGTCCATTATCCAGGCCTCCAGGAGACCTTCCACCACCAGAATTTACAATGCCACCTGGCGCTCTTTCGTGTCCTGGTGCGCCACCAGACACTCTGATCCCACTTCTGCTTCGGTCTCCGATGTGTTGGAGTTTCTGTATGCCGGTTTCAACAAGGGCCTCGTGGTGAACACGCTCCGCAGGCATGTGGCTGCCCTGAACACCGTCCTTTCCACCGATTTGGATGTCCCTCTGTCTCACAATCAACGAATTAGATCCTTTCTGAGGGGCGCCTCTAATCTCCGCCCTCCATGTGTCCATCGATATCCATCCTGGGACCTCCCACTGGTCCTTCGGGCCCTCACGGCCCCTCCTTTCGAGCCATTGGGATCTATTGGTTTGCGTTTTCTGACGCTCAAAGTCGTGTTCCTGATTGCGGTGACATCGGCTAGACGGATATCTGAGTTGGCCGCCCTGTCAGTTCGAAAGGACTTGTGTATTTTCCATTCTAATCGAGTCGTCCGCAGGTTGGATCCCTCCTTTATCCCGAAAGTCAACTCGATTTTCCACCGCACTCAGGAGCTGATCCTTCCCGATTTTTGTCCAGATCCCAGACACCCGTTAGAGGACCAGTGGCACACCCTTGATGTTCGGATGGCTCTACGTCGGTACATCAAGAGGACCTCGGCATTCCGTCGTTCTGAAGCCCTTTTCGTTTCATTTCTTCTGGCTTCTCTGGGCCAAAAGGTTTCGTCTACCACGATTGGACGTTGGCTAAAAGCATGTATCTGCAAGGCTTACTCCTCGTCAGGCAAGCCCCCTCCAGACAAAGTCCTTCCTCATTCCACCAGGAGTGCCTCCACTTCAGCTGCGTGGGCAACTCAAGCCTCGGTTTCGGAAATTTGCAGAGCAGCCACCTGGACCACCTTGAACCCGTTCATTAGGTACTATAAGATCGATTCTTTTGCGGCTGCTGATGCGGCCTTTGGCCGACGTGTTCTACAATCGGTCGCTGCTCCAGTACTTGCCCCGGACCTGTCTGATAACTCCCCCTAACAAACTTGCTTGGGTATATTCCACGCTTTGGATTCTCCAAGCAGCACGCTGGAGAACGAACGTTGGTTACCTGAACGTTCCTTCTCGGCACGCTGATGGAGAATTCAACCCTCCCTACCTTAAGGCTTCAGGTCCGGCGCCTTGATTGTGGACTACTGTCGTCTTCTCACCTGTTCTTCGTGAACTAAACTGACATCAGTCGAGCAGAAGGGGCGGAACCGAGGCAGAAAATTTAAAGTGATACACTCAGTCTCTGACAAGCTCAACGTGAACATTACCCACGCTTTGGATTCGCCATCAGCGCGCCGAGAAGGAACGTTCAGGTAAGCAACGTTCGTTTTCATAAGCATCATGTCGTTGCTATGAGATAATCCAGATACCTTTTCTAGATTGCTGAAGGTAATTGAGAAAAACAGTATTTAACAAACATGACTT